TTGTAGCTTTCTGAATCGAAGGATTAAGAGCAATGTGTTCGTAATCCAAAGGTCGGTAATTTGCAAAGGCATCCATGACCTGAATATAGAAAGGTGGGTAAAGGTGGCTAATAAATGCATGCTTTCAATGAGAAATAGCATCGACATATGACTCTTCGTATGCTTCATCACTGGAGGAAAGAATTAATTTGGCCATGAAATGTATCAGTCTGTTCGGATAATAAGACAGTGAAAATACTTAGAGGATCAAGACGAAAGTATTAATATAGATGGTGAGTGACAGTTGCATTTCTGGGAAGATGCAAAACCCATGCACGTTCTAAGACGTGGGAAAAAGGACCCTGATCCACTAATATCACCAAGTCTTGGGCATATTAGTGCGGGGGGTAATGTTGGCTACACATTTTGTGCTAGCCAGTGACAATTCGACGCGTGGCAAAGTAAGGGTAATATGGGGAGACCAGGCAGGTCTTCGATCCTGATCATACACATGGCAGTTAATATTGGTTGTTATAAGATCTGAGTAGTAGCGGATCAACAAAGAAATGTATGGTGACGTGGCTTCAACGGTTGCTCACATTCAAATTCAAATATAGGGGGGAAGCCTAAACTGCAAGTGAGGGCGTAGTGGAACTACTTATAAGGTAGCATGATCAGCGATCACGGAGGAGCAGTTCGACGGCTTGAAGTACAATTCAATGGTTATCTTCGAAGAGTATAAATAGCAAGAAGGACTTCAGAAAAGGGGACGAAAAAAGATCAAAAGAAAACACTTTACATATTCCAGTGTTATTTCCTGTCCTTTACATTTCTGTACTTTAAGTTCCTGCACTGCACTTCATTTGTAGGAGTAGTTTTCGAGTATATTGCCGCTGTAATTCTCTACGGAACTAAGATCATTGTAAGTTTTTCATACTAATGAAATGCTTCAGTTTATTTAACTGTTCTTATGCTCAAGTTCTCTGAAGTCAAATTACCAGTAAGCCACCAGTAAAAGTCCTCTTTATTGAGGCTAAAAGAACCATAACACAATCGTCTGAATAATTGTTTGGCAATTACAATTCTGTAAGGACTGATTGATCCTTGCTGGCACGCTCATAATTAAAAAAATAACCTTCGAAAGCCAAAAAGCCAACACCCCCACAAACATAAGTCCACAACACAACAATATAGCAGAAGTTATTTAGTAGGTTACGTAGAGCACGTGTTCATGTGCCCAACCAATGAAATGGTATAATTTGCCCACCATTTCATTATTAGGGTGATGTATTCATTTAGTCCTTTGCTAAAGTGTATAAAGTCCCGTTTGTTTTCAAAGGTAGAATGAAGGAGATTGTTAGTGAGAAGACTATTAGTGAGGGGACTACTAGTGAGGGGATTAAGAAAAATTGTATTTGTTTGATAACCAATGGAGTAGTAATAGCTTATTTTTGTTTTGAGAGATGGGGATGAGATTAACCATGTGAAATTTCACAAATACCCTTTTTGCATATTTTCAAATTTAGACTTATACAATGTAAAGAATAAATAAATTTTTACTCAATATTATTCTTTTTCTTTTTTTATTTTTTTTAAATATTAAAGAATCTAATTATCAAAAAAAATATTTATTCAATGTTTTTTTTTTAAATATTAATGAATCCAATAGCAAAGCAGATTTGCCATCCAAATAGTAGATTTGCACCCCATTTGATACCTCATTTGATAGAAATTATAATAAATTTCACAAATCCAACTTCGACAGTGCAAAATACAGGGCAAGTGCGACATATTTCTAATCCCCCACAATGGTCACATACTAATGTTGTTTTCATAACAAATTTCACTAATTCTTTTACTCACAAGTTTGCCATTTAAATTGCTCTTATAAAATAATAAATAAATAAATAAATAAATAAATAAATTAGCTCTTCTTATATTATTTTAGAGGGCATCATTTTAAATTGTAAAATTTTGTTATTGTATTATATATGTGTAAAAAAAAAATTAGTGAGATTTGTTAATTTATTAACAAAAAAATTCTTATCAATTATGGGGGCGCAAAAATGAAATACACCTTTAACAAAAATTCTTATAAATGTAATCCTGCTGAGATTATGCATTTTTGTAGTACTATTTGCACCTATTTTTCTCATAAATGAGTGTCACCGAGCTTAATAGGAGGTAGCAAAATTCAAGTCCAAAGCATCATGATTTCCTTTTTCAAACAGTTGCAATTCAATCCAAACCACCAGGCTGCTATACCATCCAAATTTTTTGGGCTTAGCCATGAAGATCCCCACAATTAGATAAAAGCACTCACTCCATACATTCCAAGCCCTGCTGCATAACAACAAGAATACATGAACTGCAAATTTTCTACTGCCAATACTTAACACACAAATACTAGATGTATGTATCAGGAGGGATGATGTGCATTCACAGTAATAAATCCCTAGTAACAATTTTTTCAAGTAGAACACTAGAAACTTTGGTGGTATATAATTTTTATAGAATTCTAGTAAAATTCTTTTTGAATCCCAAAAATTTCTCCACCTTGTTGTCCAAAGAGCTTACCGAGATAAGAACTACCCAATAGATAAACAAATAAACATTAAAACAGCCTAATGGATAAAATAGAATTTTATCAGATACCAATTGTCTAGCCAAGCAATTGGTTCAAGACAAGAATTCTCGTCAGGCCAAGGAAACAAGCTGTTCAATATGTCGTTCATTGTATATTTTTGAGCATCAAAGTCAATTTTGTACAATTTCCCCCACTCACAACTCGTGGGATCAGATAAGACAAACATGGGATAAACAAATTGCAAGTTACAAAAACCAGTCTTAACCAGCCTAACACAGGAGAAACATTTACTCAACAAAAAGACCATCATACTTTTGCAGCAGATAAAGTATTACAGCAGCAAAAAATACCTAGCCTATAATATTTATGCATCACATAATATATTACAAGTCATGTGGGAAACAAAAAGACCATCATACTATAGATGCCACATTCAAATATGACCTTTCAATAGCAAAGAAACCCACTCCATCTTGTAATTTAATGCTAATAGTAATTTGATGCTCTGCTACATATGCGGTTCCACTATGTCAATTTGTTTTTTCTATATCAAACCTTAACAAGGGACACAATGATACCTCAACATTTAGTAGAAAGTATAGCAAGAGTTACTAGAATGTCATTTCAGGTAACATTTTTAATTTTTTTTCCCTCCTTGTAACAGCAGTAAGAACTAATTTTCTAATTCTTTAATATTTTTATGTCCTAAGCCACATTTGTTTCTCTGGCATAAAAAATATTAGTTTTGCTTTCACGTCACTTCTACTTCATCATGTCTCTTCTTCTTCTTTGGAGAATATGCATAATTCCCTTTAGTTCAACTTAGGTGAATGTTTTGTGCAGGGTGTATACTTCAACAAAATTATGAGGATGAATTGTTTACAACCATATCGGTGAAATAGGTGAAAGTGCTCTTCTTCATGTCATTCAACCCTGCAAAAATATGCATAATTTCCTTTAGTTCAATTGTGAGGATGAATTATTCATGTCACTCTGCCCTGGTGCAATCTAATGCATAATTTGATTTAGTTCAACTCATGTGAACTTTTTGTGCTGGAAGTATACATAAATCAAGGATAAATTGTTCACAACCATATTGGTGTGTGAAATTATTTGTGAATAAGATAAATAGATAGGATAGGTTGATGAGCTCAACAAAGCCTTTATCCAAAACTGGGTAGGATACATAGTTATTTTATTTTATTTTATTTTAACATTTGTCCCCATCTAGAGCTATTTTAGATGGGAAGATAGATTAGTGGAATGAATTCTAGAAAAAACACTATGTTCAAGGGCTGCCTCCTTGATTGTTATCAACTATTTGACGGGCCAACTAAAAAGAAGACTGAATGGATAAAGAACAGAGAAGCATAGTAACAAAATAAAATCCTAAAATACATTTTATATAATATTGCAAATTCAACTATTGCAAATTCACAAATTGAATGACAAATAAGAGAACTTGAAGTGATTCAATGGGAAATTCAACGAATCTTCAAGGGTTCGGATCAGATTGAATAGTGATTGTGATTTGATAGATCTGGTAATTAGGGCAAGCATCTAGCTTCAACTAAAAAGAACACTAGAATTGAAATAGGAGACCCCTAGTTTGAAACTAAATTCAATTTCCCAAAAACTCAATTGCACAAAAAAAAAAATGCAACTCCAGACAGAAACAAATAACTTAAAAATCCACAGAATTATAATAACAAATCATATCAGATTCTGGGCAAAACACAGACCTTCCTGAAAAATTAATGGGATTTGAAACGCAAACTCTGATTTAGAAAGAATAATAACATGAGGGAATATTAAACTAATGATAACCGAATAATTCTTTTCAAAATTCTTAATTTGCCCAACCAATAGAACCAACTGATATATATATAGAAATCAAACCAATATATATATATATATAGAAATCTGTATATATATAGAAACCAAACCCAACTCCAATCGAGATCAAACCAATATATATATATAGAAATCCGTATATATATATATATATATAGATGAAGCTGCCAAACCCAACACCCATCAGGATGAAGCCAATTTACAACATATATACACATTTAGATATAGATGTGCATATTTGTATCCAGAATGTACCCTCTCCATTGTCCCATTAGTCAAAACCAAATCTTTTCATAAAACCCAATATATGAATTCAAAACAATTACAATCAAACTACATCTATATACATTTTTAAATAAAAAAATCTTATTTTTCAAATTCCCACAATTAAGAAATTCACTCTAATCCCTCATTTCAATTAATTTATTTGAAAATCAAAAGCGAAGAAAACAGCAAAACAATAATGAGAACGAATACTTCGATTCCAATAACAGTAAAACAATTTGTGTATATATGTATATATATATATATATATATATAAATAATACGAAAGATTGAGATGTGGATATAAAAAGCAAACCTTATATATATATATATAGAAAACAAAAAAGCTTAGATGAGTTTGAGATTGTGCAAATTGCATTCACATCCCCAATGAGGTTTGTAATAAAAAATAATTACTTAACAAAAAAAAAATTACCAACAGATGCTCCACAGAATTTGAAGATCGAAGATCTAAAGATGAGAGAGAGTTAGGGCACACTGTAAAGTAGAGAGAGCTTCTTTTTGCCTCTCCTTCTTGCTGTTGTTGCTTCCAAGGATGAGTAGGGCAGACTTCAGATCAAAAATCTAAAGAAGATGAGAGCTTATCTTTGCCTCTCCTTCCTCCTGCTGTTTCTTCTTCAAGGATGAGCTAGGGCAACGATGGGTAAATAAGTAATCACACTCCTAATACCAACGGACTAAATTTCAATACCAAGTGTTGGAGCAGACTATGAATTCTGTTAGCAAGGCCCATCTTTAAGCCTTCGGCTTATCAATCCGTTCTCCAACCCTACAAACAAACAGAACATTAAGTGGGCACCATCTCTATCCTAATCCCCTCCCTTCTTCTACACCCCAAAACAAACAGGGCCTAAAAGTCCTACTAGACACGAAGCTTGAGAGCTTGTGGCCTCCAGAATTTGGAAACACTACTTATAAAACCCCAAACACTGCCCTCACAAGTCTTTCCAGCTTGTCTTCTAATGAGCTTCAATAGACCTAATAAAAAAAACAATAATTAAAAAAAGATACGTGATTTGCAAATAAACCAAACCAAATCAAGCCTTAAGCCCCATCAAATAGGGACATGATTTGCAGATACAAAAAAATAAAATAAAATAATTGCTACTTTACCTTCTAAGAACACATTAAATCTTTTGCTACTCAAGCTAGCATTCCATGCATTTTTGTTATTGTCCAAGCTGTTGCTTTGGAAATCCTTCAATAAGTGGAGAGAGAGAGAGAGAGAGAGAGAGAGAGAGAACATAATAATAAACTTCAGAAACAAAGGGGGAAAAAAAATATGCACTTTAAATAAATTTAAAAATAAAAAAACAAAAATAGAAAAAAGAAGGTTGAAAATTTCTTGGGGATTGTTAACATCAAGATAATTAAAACATGCTCCAAACAATTTTACATTTTTTTTCTCTCACACATGGATTACTAAGAAACAAACCAGGCTATATAGATTATAACAAACAATTCTACTTTCTAGAAAAGAAATATAAAATTCCGTTTAATAGTTTTTAAATCATGATTTGAGTTGTAAATTGTACTTTGAGTTTTAAATTTTTGAAATGAGTTTTGAAAAGGAAAAATTTGCTGAGAAAATTATTTATAAGCCCTATTTGGAAGACTTATTTAATGTGAAGCCGTATGAATATATTTTTAGAGATTGAAATCCTATTTAAATAGGAATGTGTTCCATAAGGTCCTATGAGTTGTAAATTAATGATATTAGTGTATTATTATACCCATAATTTGTTTTCATATTGTACATTATTTTCTCATTCATCATATCACATTTCGGTAGGCATGTGTGTATTTGACATTGTGATGGTTGATGCGTTTTGATATATTTGATGTGTGGGTGGTGTGTATGAGTTCGGGGTTCGGTTGGGGATATTTGATATTGGTTGTTAATTGGATATCGAATGTGAACCACGTCATAGGATGTCAATTGTGCATTGGGACCTGGATGATCGTGTTACAATGCATATTACATTTAGTGTGTAACGTTAATCCACATACATCATGTAGTAGATAACATTTGTGTGTTTGTTCGATTGTACAAGTGTTTGAATGTGTATCCCAGGCTATATAGATTATAACAAACAATTCTACTTTCTAGAAAAGAAATATAAAATTCCGTTTAATAGTTTTTAAATCATGATTTGAGTTTTAAATTGTATTTTAAGTTTTAAATTTTTGAAATGAGTTTTGAAAAGGAAAAATTTGCTGAGAAAATTATTTATAAGTCCTATTTGGAAGACTTATTTAATGTGAAGCCGTATGAATATATTTTTAGAGATTGAAATCCTATTTAAATAGGAATGTGTTCCATAAGGTCCTATGAGTTGTAAATTAATGATATTAGTGTATTATTATACCCATAATTTGTTTTCATATTGTACATTATTTTCTCATTCATCATATCACATTTCGGTAGGCATGTGTGTATTTGACATTGTGATGGTTGATGCGTTTTGATATATTTGATGTGTGAGTGGTGTGTATGAGTTCGGGGTTCGGTTGGGGATATTTGATATTGGTTGTTAATTGGATATCGAATGTGAACCACGTCATAGGATGTCAATTGTGCATTGGGACCTGGATGATCGTGTTACAATGCATATTACATTTAGTGTGTAACGTTAATCCACATACATCATGTAGTAGATAACATTTGTGTGTTTGTTCGATTGTACAAGTGTTTGAATGTGTATCGTGTCTTTGTTGTAATTAGTGTTTACATACATGTCACAGTACATTGCGCAAAATTATTGAGGATTTGGGTTTGTAATTGAATGTGGATTGAATCCCATTACTCGATGTTAAAGTTACGCTGGGTTGGGTAGGGCTGAGCAAGGAATCCGTGAAATTCGTAATCCGATCTAGTTCAGTCCAATTCAGTAGGTTTGGATAAGTTTTCTGAATCCATAGTTCTGTTTCGGATTGAAAAATTAAAAATCCGTAGTCCACGGATCGTTTCTAGATTGAACCCCACAGTTCTGGATTGGAACTGATCCTAACCATAGACAAATAAATAACCTATATTTATATTATACACCCTCCCGCATAGTATCTTCTTTTATTCCATATAAAACCTAAACCTGCTTAGTATCTTCTTTTATTGCTTTTGTTTGTTAGGTTTTAGTTTTAATTTGTAATGGTTTAAATACTTATGTTGGAACCAATTTTTTTTATAGTTGTTTAAATTCTAGAACGGTATGTCGCTATTATGAAAAGACATATTGCTATTGTGGAACTAATATGATACTATGTTTATGTTTTTATGAAATTAAAATGTTCAATTTTTTTTTTTCTATTGTGGAACTAATATGATACTATGTTTATGTTTTTATGAAATTAAAATGTTCAATTTTTTTTTTTTAACAATTATGTGAATCCGTGTTTAAATGGATTGGTTTCATGATTTAAACGGATTGGATTGGTTCCAATTTATCAGGAACCGTAGATAACGAATTGGTCTTAATTTTATCCCAACCCGGACTAATCTAGACCATGCTCACCCCTAGGGTTGGGAGTGATGATGGTTCAATACATGGGTTGGGTTGCGATGTTCCATATTACATTTTGGAAGTTACATTATTTATAATTCAACGGAGGAGTATTGGAATGTCACGTTGGGTTTGAGATTTACGTTAGATTTTGGATGAGAAACATATGAGAATATCACATTTGTAACATTGGATTTCCCACATATGAAATTGCCATTAATCAAGTTATTTTGAATTTCAGAAGCATATAGAAATGTCACATTTGGTTTGGGAATGTCACGTTGGGTCTGGAATGTTACATTTATGTTTTGAATTTCAAATTTCCAACCATATAGATATGATTACAATCTATGGTAACATTGGATTTTCCATATATTGTATTGCCATTAATTAGATTATTTTGAAATTCGCAATCTATGGTAACATTGAATTTTCCATATATGATATTATCATTAATCAGGTTATTAATTAATGAAAATTGGGGGTATATATGTCCACAATAAAACCATAGGACCTATTGGATTATAAGTTTTTTCATAGGATCATATTTTGTATAAGTCTTCCAAATAGGACTTAAAAATAAAATAATCTACCCAAATTTGTTTGTTGTATTTTAAATTTTGAGTTTTTGAATTGTATTTCAAAAATTTTTAGGTTTATTTTTTATTAAAATATTTAAAATTTTTCTTAATTTTATATTTTTTTAGGGCAACTATTTTTTATTGTAAATATTTATTTATTTATTTTAATATGTAGTGCATTTTATTTTTTTCAATATTTAAAAATTTTACAAAAATTATTTTAATTTTAAAGATACAATTTAATTTTAAATATTTTTTTTTTTGTTAATTTAAAAAAAAAAATAGATTGCCCATATATCTCGAAATCACAACAAACTACTTGGCAAATACTTAAAAAAATAACAAAATATTTTTTTCAAAAGAATAAAAAATATATTTCTTCAAAAATAAAATAAAATAAAAATATTTTTTCAAAAATATAAAAAATAATTTCAAAGAATAAAATATAAAAATAACTTTTTTTTTTTAAAAAAAAAAATAGAGTTTTGAAAAGAGTTTGATTATAAGTTTTAAATTTAGTTTTGAATAGTGTATTTGATTATGAGTTTTAAAAGCAAAAATTATCCAAATCATGATTTGAGTTTTAAACCAAACACTACCAAAAATACCTTTCCCAGAATTTTTTTTTTTTTTTGAACAGAAATACCTTTCCCAGATCAATTTCAAGTTCTTCAAGCACGCACAGCTTGCCAAGTTTGAGGATGGGCTCATTTATTGACAAATCTTCCTGTTACAAACCAGGTTATAGATATGATATAACAAACAATTCTACTTTCTAGAAAAGAAAAATAAAAATACCTTTCGTAGATCACATTTAAGTCCTTCAAGTGAGCACAGGTGAAGAAGTTTGCAGATGCGCTCATCCATAGACAAATCTTCTTGTTCTATAATCGCAATTATTTCGTCTCCCAAAGAAAAAAAATTTCTCCCAAGCTCTAAGAACGTAATTGCTAAAAACAGGTGTTCAAGTTGTATTTTGTCAACACCTACAGCAAATTCATGAAAAGCATACACATCAAAAGATTGAACCTACTATTTTTCATAATCGAACACCAAACCAAGTCAAACCAAGCCAAGCCTTAAGTCCCATCAAATGGGTTAGCTACATAAATTCTTCTTCTCTACTCGACTCTATTCAAGGTCATTTCGTAGTCAAATTAAGGAGATTAATAAGTGCATTTGGTAAGATTTTTTTATTTACAAGTCAAATTTCAAATGATAAAGATGCCTTTATCTAGAAGTGCATCAGTAAGTGAATTTGGATGTAAAGCAAAAGCATTCTTACCAGCTAAACACTGTGCTGTCCCGTATATGCGATACCTAGGATTTCTCGCAGGTTCCTCAAGAGCTTGTCGTAACTGCACAAACTTCAAGACACTTCCTCTAATCCTTGTGCGAAGCAGGCCCAATAAAAGATGATGTGAGCCAATAAAACGATGTCCTTCTGACCTTCTTGCACAGTCAGCATGTCCAACAACCTCAATTACCTCTTCCGTACAATTTCCAAAGACACCTGACCGCAAGGGAAATGTAGCTGATTTCATGGACTTGTGTAACTGCAAAAGGAGAATGGAAAATGGAAAATATGACAAATAACTTTTTATTTTTAAAAGAGAAGAATATATATGACAAATAACTTTTTATTTTTAAAAGAGAAGAATATATATGACAAATAACTTTTTATTTTTAAAAGAGAAGAATATATATGACAAATAACTTTTTATTTTTAAAAGAGAAGAATATATATGACAAATAACTTTTTATTTTTAAAAGAGAAGAATATATATGACAAATAACTTTTTATTTTTAAAAGAGAAGAATATATATGACAAATAACTTTTTATTTTTAAAAGAGAAGAATATATATGACAAATAACTTTTTATTTTTAAAAGAGAAGAATATATATGACAAATAACTTTTTATTTTTAAAAGAGAAGAATATATATGACAAATAACTTTTTATTTTTAAAAGAGAAGAATATATATGACAAATAACTTTTTATTTTTAAAAGAGAAGAATATATATGACAAATAACTTTTTATTTTTAAAAGAGAAGAATATATATGACAAATAACTTTTTATTTTTAAAAGAGAAGAATATATATGACAAATAACTTTTTATTTTTAAAAGAGAAGAATATATATGACAAATAACTTTTTATTTTTAAAAGAGAAGAATATATATGACAAATAACTTTTTATTTTTAAAAGAGAAGAATATATATGACAAATAACTTTTTATTTTTAAAAGAGAAGAATATATATGACAAATAACTTTTTATTTTTAAAAGAGAAGAATATATATGACAAATAACTTTTTATTTTTAAAAGAGAAGAATATATATGACAAATAACTTTTTATTTTTAAAAGAGAAGAATATATATGACAAATAACTTCTTTCTTGAAACAACTTCTTTATCTCTTAATTTCTCTCTCTCTCTCTCATATTCTAACTTCTGATTTTCTATCCACCTTTTTGTGTGATGATCCTCATATTTATAGAGGGTCATCCAGGTGATAAGAAGGCCCCATCCTCAATTTGAATTTCAAATTTCAAATTGAATGATAACGCTATTTGAATTTTGAATGATAACAAATTTGGGTGTAATCATATCTGATTAATCGTATATTTGATTAACCGTATTGACCCTTTAGACTTCTTCCTGTGTGGTGTCCTTACTATAGGCTCTACAAGTGTCATCTTCTGTAGGCTCCATGTGTCACTTGAATATCCTGAATAACATCACTGAGATTCGATGTCGTTTTATTTATACATTTCAACGGATCAAGTTGATCATTTTAGGAAGTGATTACCAATAACAATCCTATCATAGGCTCTATGTGTGTCATTAACTGATTGACCGTATTTGAAATTTGAACATAAATTTAGTTGAAATTTGTATGCCAAGCATGTCATAACTATTAGGATATGGGCCCAGCAATACCCTATCAGGCTATCCAACAATCTAGATATGAACAGAAGGTGTATTTTTCTCCACAAACAAACATCTTAATTTCAAGCAGGTTATGCACACAAGAACCGAACCAAGGTAGCAAAATGTATTTTGCCTAGTTCATAAGTGACTAAAAAGACGAGGTCTTTTTTGTCAATTTACAACTGTCATTAATAGGACTTATTTTCTAACATTTGGGGTAATCTGCACATGGGTAAACCAAAAGGGGGCAAAGTGAAATTTTTCGTTAAATTAATGACAGTAGAAAAAATGAATAAATAAACAAGGTAAATAGTTAAAATCATCGATATGATCCATTTCACATGGATAACATACTCCTCTCTTTTTCTTTTTTTCTTTTTTGTTAATTGCTAATTGTTAATTTCTTGTTCCATAGATGATAGTTCAAAGCTGACTTCAGGATGATAAATGAAATATCCACTTTACACGGAGACATTAATTTGAGCAAGCCGCAAATGCAAAGTGAACGGTACATTTAATTGCAAAGACGAGGGACAAACATATATAACAATCCTAAACTTCAATACAATATTTTGGTAAACTTTTTTTAGTAATTTATCAACAGTTCTTCGGTGTTAATACCTTTGAGTGATCTAATTGTGAAGTAGCAGAAAATATTATATTAAGAAACAAATCCAAAGTGATTCACACTTGTACCTTCAATGGTCGAAACTGCTTCATAACAATCATCGTACATTGGATTAAGAGTTCAAACATACGCACATCCTACATCAACATAAATCATATTCAAAACATTGCATAACTAATCAATTATGATAGATAAGTGTACTTAATTGAACTACGGAAAAACAACAACGAAAGGAGAAAAACAAAAAAATAAATACACATATATAATTACTTAGTAATGCCATTTAAATTTCAAATAAAAAAATACTGTTGTTTGATGCCTCAAACGATCATCTACGATTCTCAAGCATGCATACCCATACCAAGAAAAATGAAGACAAATTAAACACATCACAATAACCAATTTTGCAGCTATGAGTCAGAACAAAAGGAGATTAATAACAAGAAGGCTAGGGATTACAAGGGCAACAACATAAATAAGGACTAAAATAATGTGTTACCTTATGGATCAGCAAGTCTGGTGGTGTTGGCTGTTGCTGCACAAGTACATTTTTCTGTGGATATATTATCTCTGAATAAGTGACTGCAGCTGTTACAAAGACTAAAAGCAATGTCACACAGTGACATGTAATTGTAACAGTTACCTCTAAGAGACTATTAACATCATATTCATGAAGAAGGATAAAATCATCCAACTTCATCTCCCAGTGAGCAATGGCTAGAATAGCTTCGTTCGTAGTCTATAAAGTAACAAAAAAAGTTGCACCATCAACTTGTTTACAATATCAATTTCAGTTATCAAGCTAGACAAACCAATAAACTCAAAATCAAACTTAAATATGAATGTCAACTATGTAATTATAATTTGATAGGTCCATGGCCACAATCCACTAACTTAAATATGAAACCGGGTGGTATACTTCAACCTCTCCCTATTCTTGAATGGAAGTGGGAGCATGTGACTATGGATTTCGTTGTTGGTCTACCTCGGACTCCTCGAGGTATGGATTCTATTTGGGTTGTAATTGATAGACTAACTAAATCTGCACTTTTTCTACCTGTTAGAACTACATTTGGACTTCTTCCTGTGTGGTGTCCTTACTATAGGCTCTACAAGTGTCATCTTCTGTAGGCTCCATGTGTCACTTGAATATCCTGAATAACATCACTGAGATTCGATGTCGTTTAATTTATACATTTCAACGGATCAAGTTGATCATTTTAGGAAGTGATTACCAATAACAATCCTATCATAGGCTCTATGTGTGTCATTAAATGATTGACCGTATTTGAAATTTGAACATAAATTTAGTTGAAATTTGTATGCCAAGCATGTCATAACTACTAGGATATGGGCCCAGCAATACCCTATCAAGCTGTCCAACAATCTAGATATGAACAGAAGGTGTATTTTTCACCACAAACAAACATCTTAATTTCAAGCAGGTTATGCACACAAGAACCGAACCAAGGTAGCAAAATGTATTTTGCCTAGTTCATAAGTGACTAAAAAGACGAGGTCTTTTTTGTCAATTTACAACTGTCATTAATAGGAGTTATTTTCTAATATTTGGGGTAATCTGCACATGGGTAAACCAAAAGGGGGCAAAGTGAAATTTTTCGTTAAATTAATGACAGTAGAAAAAATGAATAAATAAACAAGGTAAATAGTTAAAATCATCGATATGACCCATTTCACATGGATAACATACTCCTCTCTTTTTCTTTTTTTCTTTTTTGTTAATTGCTAATTGTTAATTTCTTGTTCCAAAGATGATAGTTCAAAGCTGACTTCAGGATGATAAAAGAAATATCCACTTTACACAGAGACATTAATTTGAGCAAGCCGCAAATGCAAAGTGAACGGTACATTTAATTGCAAAGACGAGGGACAAACATATATAACAATCCTAAACTTCAATACAATATTTTGGTAAACTTTTTTTAGTAATTTATCAACAGTTCTTGGGTGTTAATACCTTTGAGTGATCTAATTGTGAAGTAGCAGAAAATATTATATTAAGAAACAAATCCAAAGTGATTCACACTTGTACCTTCAATGGTAGAAACTGCTTCATAACAATCATCGTACATTGGATTAAGAGTTCAAACATACGCACATCCTACATCAACATAAATCATATTCAAAACATTGCATAACTAATCAATTATGATAGATAAGTGTACTTAATTGAACTACGGAAAAACAACAACGAAAGGAGAAAAACAAAAAAATAAATACACATATATAATTACTTAGTAATGCCATTTAAATTTCAAATAAAAAAATACTGTTGTTTGATGCCTCAAACGATCATCTACGATTCTCAAGCATGCATACCCATACCAAGAAAAATGAAGACAAATTAAACCCATCACAATAACCAATTTTGCAGCTATGAGTCAGAACAAAAGGAGATTAATAACAAGAAGGCTAGGGATTACAAGGGCAACAACATAAATAAGGACTAAAATAATGTGTTACCTTATGGATCAGCAAGTCTGGTGGTGTTGGCTGTTGCTGCACAAGTACATTTTTCTGTGGATATATTATCTCTGAATAAGTGACTGCAGCTGTTACAAAGACTAAAAGCAATGTCACACAGTGACATGTAATTGTAACAGTTACCTCTAAGATGCTATTAACATCATACTCATGAAGAAGGATAAAATCATCCAACTTCATCTCCCAGTGAGCAATGGCTAGAATAGCTTCGTTCGTAGTCTATAAAGTAACAAAAAAAGTTGCACCATCAACTTGTTTACAATATCAATTTCAGTTATCAAGCTAGACAAACCAATAAACTCAAAATCAAACTTAAATATGAATGTCAACTATGTAATTATAATTTGATAGGTCCATGGCCACAATCCACTAACTTAAATATGAAACCGGGTGAAAATAAAAAAAAAATGTCTTTAAAAAAAAAAAAAAAAAAAAAAAGAGATGATCAATGCAAGTGTTTTCCATGAAGAAATGAATATGCATCAGCCGTAGTCAAAGCATTATGTTGACATATTTTGAGCTTATTTCTGTCCAAATTTTTAAAATATATATTTATACATACACAAAGAGAAACCCAAAAAAGGAAAGAAAATAAAATAAGGAGCATCTACATGAACAAGTTACTTTGTGATTGTATAATGATACAATTACAAGAACTAAAAAAATGACAAAAGAAGGGAACAAGGTTTAGGTTAATAGCATGTAAAAGTGAAGGGACAAAGAGAGACTAGAAAAGAACACAATGCCAAATACAATCACCAACACAAGAGAGCGAAGATGTCAATGACAAGGGAAAGGTCTTGACATAATTGACAAAACGAGTAATCTGACCACCCAATTTATGTACTGGGTGAAAAATGTCATCACATTTGGTCAAACTACAAACACATACTAAGCAATTATATAAATAAAAAGCAGTGTGTGAATGCAATATGAAACAATCTAAGCAATCTATATGTAGTAAAGGATGAAGAATGTGAACCGCAAACTTGCTTAGCATAATTTTCTAGCCAGAGCAATTACCATATCATAAACACTTAATACAAGAATTATAAGAGCTTTCAAAACCTCCCACTGCACATGTATTAATGCATCAGGGTCTTCCGAGAACACTTCGTTCTCCACTCAGGTGCAACTAATACGAGAAAAACTATTATGGGCTAAGAATGCAGCCCCCTTGGCACCTGTGAAGACTCGGTCCTCGCCACCTCTATCTTTAAGGCTCGAGAACATTGACTTCCTCAAAAATATTAAAAAAATTAATTATTTTTTTTTCTTCTCTTCTCTTCTTATTAAAAAAATTAATATTATACATATTAAATATTTGCTTATGCTGAAAATTGTGCTATATTAATATTCTGCTTAGCTTCTATAACTTGCACCTCGTTTTGGTGAGGCACGCCTTGATACTTAGGCTCTAGGTGACCTTGGCGCCTCGATGTGCCTAAAACTTTTTAAAACACTGGTGTGAATGCAATATGGAATAATCTAAGCAATCTATGTATAGTAAATGATAAAGAATTGTGAATCTCAAACTTGCTTAGCATCAGCCAGAGCAATTACCATATCATAAACACTTAATACAAGAATCATAAGAGCTTTCAAAACCTCCCACTGCACATGTGTTAATGCATCAGGGTCTTCCGAAAACACTTCGTCCTCCACTCTAGTCCAACTAATACAAGAAAAACTATTATGTGCTAAGAATGCAGCCCCCTTGGCAGCTGTGAAGACCCGGTCCTCACCTCCTCTATCTTTAAGGCTCGAGAACATTGAATTCCTCAAAAAATCCTGGGACAAAGTAGTTCAAAAAGTTTGTGAAAGCGAGAAGACAAACCTAACACAGAACCTGAAGAGCATAACAAGCTAAAAAATATACCATTGATACAGCATGATACAACGTTACATAAGAAACATTTATAATCTTATTTTTAAGGGTTAATTACAGCATAGTGAGACAGAGAAAAAAAATTACAAAAAATGTTGGGTGTAAATGATTTTGTCATGGGGTACAAGTGAAAAGCCGTCTCCATGTTTGTGTAAAAAAAAATAATAATAATTTGTCCCACTGGGATGTAATTCCCCCTATTCTTAATTACTTCTATAAACACAATAATTAAATGACCCTCCAAAAAAAAATACATACACACAAAATAGTCAATCACTTAAATATCATCATATACAAGCAAGCAACACATTGTACTAACTTTTACAGATGATTCTAAAACATTACAAGTTACAACTTAACAGCTATGAAGCATGGATACTCTAAAAAACATGTCGTACCTGTACCGAATACTTACTGGCGGATGGTACCTCGTATAGTACTTTTGCATACCTACCGAGTACACGAAATATGTACCCAAATTTTTTCTTCTTAATTTTTGGCGTACCCAAATGTACCTAGTATATACCCAAGCCGTATCATACCTCAGTTGAAATAATATTTTCTTCTACTACAGTGATAAAAACTCCTTTCACTAGACTTCTTTTTTATTTTTTAGTTTTATGCTTAGCATGATTTTAAAATCAAACTATGGTTTGTAAGTTATTTAATATATTAACATTTAATTTTGATTTATACCTTAACTTTTGGCATTAAATGTTAATTATAAGTTGGATCTTAACAAATTAAACTATTTAATTAATTTTTGCATCACTCTAAATTAAAAATAAATATTTTTTTACAAGCGTACCAAGCCCAAGCCGTACCCTATAACCCTCCTTTTTGCCTAAATTTTACCGTATTGACGTATCCGTATTATATCAATAACAGTATGTACCTGTGCTTCATAGCTTAACAGAAAGAAGAAGAAGAAGAAGAAGATAAAAGTAAAGGAAAGAAGGACCATTCATTTCAAGTAGACCTTGCAAATTCCACGCATAAACCCAATGCCAAAAAGATAAGAAATAACATAATTGTGACAAAAAAAATTACAGTATTTTTTCAATATAAGTTATGAAGAAGCAAATCCAGTCCTGACAGCCGGGATGGGGAGGGGGAGGGGGAGGGAAAGATTGGGTAAAGACATAACCTTTGGCATTATTTTCATATACCTAATTTTTCAATACATATAATTTCCAAAATAAAATGGCGCTCTCCATGAGAAGGACCGAAAATGTGCAAGTAACATAGTTTTACAACCAAGGTTGCAAAAACAATAATAACGTAAATAATAAAAAATAAATAAATTACATTTTTTTTTTTTTTTTTTTTTGTGTGTTGTTGATGATGCCAAATTACGTGACAAGCATATATCTAGTATAGATAAAAACCAGAAGAGCAGTGCAGAACGAACAGAACCTTCCGTTCTTCTTCTTGTGATGCCACTTTTGCAATCTTTTCTAGCATAGCTTCAGGAATACCCCTGTTCCAGATCAAGTGATGTGAGTTCCGTGAGGAAGCACTCAAAGAAACCACAAGGGGAAAACAAAATAAAATTAAGGAGGGTACTTTTCTGTCACGGTTTGGCCACTTTGACCAAGATTATCATCTCTATGTTTTGTAGATCTACCGGGTGAACTTGGACAATCTTTGACCAATTCGACTCCTGGGAACATTAATTCATCCATTCGCCAAACTGTGTTGCAAAAAAAAAAATAATAAATAAATAAATAAATAATTTACGTATTCCAACCATACTAACAAAACATTAGGAAGTGGTAAACTTGGTGGACCTGATTCTTCTTTTATTCAACTTTTAGGCATGAAGAAACCAAACAACATATTGCATGATATTGTCTACTATTACCTCGCAGTTCTTCTCAAGTTGAGATGGATTTGGGTGTAACTTCTCTCTACAATGAGAAACCCTACCGACTTCCTGAATTATTTTTTTGGAGAGTTGGTATAGGTCTATTAAGTAGACTTATTTTTCAACGGGGGGTTATAATAATTAATGATATTTTTTATTATACATTATTAAAAAAAACGTTACTTTTTGGAGAGTTAGGCCAAGTTTGGGAAGTAGGCTTATTTTTCAATGGAGGTTATAATAATTAATGATATTTATTATTATACGTTACTAAAAAAATATTATTAATTATTAATTTTTAATAATAGTTTAAACTGAATTATTTTTTTGGAGAGTTGGTATAGGTCTATTAAGTAGACTTATTTTTCAACGGGGGTTATAATAATTAATGATATTTTTTATTATACATTATTAAAAAAAACGTTACTTTTTGGAGAGTTAGTATAGGTCTATTAAGTAGGCTTATTTTTCAATGGAGGTTATAATAATTAATGATATTTATTATTATACGTTACTAAAAAAATATTATTAATTATTAATTTTTAATAATAGTTTAAAAATTTTATTACAAAAAATGTTACTAATTATAAGTTTTAGCGACAGTTTAAAAAAATCATTAAAATATGTCACTAATTTTTAATTTTTAGTGACAGTTTAAAAAATTCGTCATAGAAAAACGTCACTAATTGTAAGTTTTAGCGACAATTTATAAAATCGTAACAAAAAAAAAGTCATTAATTGTCAATTTTTAGCGACAGATAAAAAATCATCACAAAAAATTATTTTTAGCGACGATTATGCTAAGACTTATTTTCAATAGAACTTGATAGGAATTAAGTATAACTATTAGGACTTATTGGTAATTTATATTTATTTTATTTTTATTTTTTTTGTTCCTTTCGGGGTTGGGGAGTAATTACCTGCTATGCTCTAAAATGTGCGTTTTGAATGCTCCAAGAAAAGTTATCTTCGCTCAAAACGCCGTCGTTCCTTTGTGGAAACTTTAATTGAGGTCTTGTTTGGGAACCGACTTTTTAGTAATTTTTTGGATTATTGACTAAAATATGATGTAAAAAAAACTAGTATTTTTGGATGACTTTTTGATTTTTTTAAGAAAAAATGTGCAAAAAGGAGAGAGAAAATAGAATATTTGACTTTTTAGTATAGATTATTGACTTTTTAATTTTTTTAATGATTTTTTGAGTTTTTAACTAAAAAAATCACTTGCTCAACGAGGCCTAAGTTTCGTCCTTTTGAATGCTTGAACAAAAGAGCTCATTCTATTCACACTGAAATAGTAAATTAGTAAATTAGTGCCCTAATTAAAAATTTTAAATTTTAATTTTTATTATATTTTAATGTAAATTTATTAATAAAGATAATACATATTAAATTTAAAAATATATATATATTTTTTTTCTTTCTGATTCACCTTAATCACTTATACATATTCTTTTTTTCATCTTATTTATTAAATTTTAGGCTTCGTGTGGCAAGATGATATGGACTAAAATAGCCATATAAGACAAAATAAGTTATTTTAGTCAAATAGGAAAAAATGTCACATCTAACTCATAATCATTTTATTCTTTCTCTCACAAAAGTCAAAAAAACTCAAAAGTCTATCACAAACGAGATTTTTTAACCCTGGGCTAAAATAGCCCAAAAAAATCAAAAAGCCAACCCACATATTAAAATTATCCCGTACATAGTCAAATTGTTAAATATTTTTATTTAGCACGCACTACAACATTTTCTTAGTTTAGTAACATCTAAAAGTGTCACTAAACTACTCTTTCAGTGACATTTTTTAGTTTTGTGGCGTTTTGAACAAGTGTCATTTATACCCATGCTTGATATCATGTCCTAAAATTTTCTAAATGGCCATCTTGTCATTTTTCTTATAATTTCTTATTCCTATCATCATGACTACGTTTTACAATTTTCTATCATTAAATTCTACCTGAACATATTCTTATTGAGTAATAATATACAAACATAAATTTTATATAGAATTTTCAAATATAATGATATAGCTTAATGGTGACATTTCATTTTGAAACAAAACATTCATAAATATGATTTATATTTATAATAACATCACTATCACAACATTTTTATGATTTTTTTTTTGTATAAATTTTTATATATGAATATAATTTTTTATTTTTATTTCTACTATTATATTTAGATTAGATCAATTTAATTTAGATATATCTAAAAAGTATAAAATTTGTACAAAAAACTTTTTTAAGAAAATCATTGAATATAACAAAATAAGATAATGTATTGAATTTTTGTATTTTATATATATATATATATATATATATTGTATTTGTTGAATTTAAAAAAAATACAAAATATTATGCTTCTTAAGTATATCTAGATTAGATATATTCAAAAAAAAAAAATTCTTAAAATATTTAAAAAATTCAGTACAAATAAAAAACACGAATTAAAAAAAAAAAAAAAAAAAAAAAACACACGCACACACACACAATTTTTTGTGTGAGTTAAACCTATAGCAGATGATTCTTATTTCCCTTGAAATGACATGAAGAAGGTATTATTTTATTATTTTATATGTATAAAGGTTAAGAGACAAATATGTCATTTTAGTCTGACAGGAGGTAAGTGTAATTTGTCAAATGTGAAGGGGGATCTGTATTAAACAGAAACCTCACGAGGTGTCAGTGTAATTTACCCAAAAAAAATTTAGTGTGTTTGGTTTCAAATGTGAAGGGGGATCTGTATTCTACGTATTCCCTCTCTTGCATCTTCCCTTTCATCCTTGTTCGGTTGCTCTCTTTGGCAACTCCCTCCTCTCTCTCCCTTCACCTATTGGCACCGTCATCATCGTCATAAAACCCATCGCAACCCTCTTTTTCTTACTCCCTCCCAACTGTGCACTCTTCTCAGTCTCCGACGACAAGATCAAACCTCCTTTCTCCTCTTGAATAATAAAACTAAGAAAGCAAATTATTCAATTACACAAACCCACTTCAAAAGAAAAACTCGAACACGGTATCATGCATCACCAGCAGAAGCTTCAATATAGCGATCCCGGTTTCTAACTCGACTTTTTTTGGTGTTTCAGACTCGGGTCTTGTGGTTTAATGTTGCTGTTATGTCATTTCCTCTTCTTACCCTTTGAATTTGGGTTTTTGAATGTCTTGGGCGTGTTCAGAACAGGTTGGTTGATTGTTGGTCTAGAACTTTATTGCCCATAATTTTGGTCTTCTGCTCAAGTGGGGTTTGCAACCTTTTAGTACTTTATACATCTGAAAGAAATACTGCAGAAGCGTTTATCACGCTCGAGCGGGTCTAAGCTCTAGCGGCCACTCTGGCGCTTGAGCGACTGTCTGAAGTCTGTAAAATACTGGACAAGTGTATTCTACGCTTGAGCGGGTCTTATTGCGCTCGAGCAGGTAGTGCCTTGCTGTTGTGCCTTGGCGCTTGAGCGGCCTTTATTGCGCTCGAGCGGGTATAATTTTTGTGTATGACACTCGAGCGTCAAACTCTCCGCTCTAGTGGACTACGCGTATGTCAGATAGCGAAAGTGGCATTTTAAATCACTTTTCTTGTATTTTCTCTCTCTAAAACTTTCCAAAACCCTAAGTTGAGAGCCTCTCTCTCTACATGACCTAGATCTAGTGATCTTCTCACCCTCCTTCCTTTGATAAAAAGATTGAGCTCTTCAAGATCTCCATTTTCATCCGAGTAGAAGTTGATTTCGTCATCCTTGGAGTTCATCCCTTGCTTGGCCCATCTTCTCTTCTTGAGGTAGGGATAATCTACTCACTACTATGAGTTTTAACATAAATATTGGTCATTTTGTATAAATGGTTGGTTTGGGTAAAGTTAGGGTTTGAGTTTGGAATTGTGAAAGAGGGTTTTCTTGTTTGGGCTCCATATGTGTATGTAAAACCTTGAAAATGGGGTTAATGGTGTATAATTGTTGAAATGGTGAGATTTGGCCTTGTGTGCACTATTTGAGAAAATGGGGAAAAATGCCCTAATTTGAGTTATAATGGTTATTTGCATAAATAATGAAAATGATGTGGAAGCATGAAATTGGTTTGAAAATCATGAAATTGGAGGAAATTATGATTAAATAGTGTAGTCGGATTGATGAATCACTCACTTATGGAAAATGTGATAAATTATCTGTTGAGAAATTTAATTATCCGCTTAGATATATCTGTTTAGGGCTATCGGTGGAGGATAGCCATGATTGTGGTAGAAAACTGCATGTTGATTAGGTAAATTGAAACTAATCAATTGGATTATGTCATTGCATATGTCAGTTGGATGTAAACATTGTATATGTAATTGAATTGGTCATTGTATATGACAACGTGTTTAAATACATTGTATATGTATCTTGTTTGGGAAGAGATAAAGGATGTACTCCATTGTGTAGGAGAAGATAGGGGATGGACTCCATTAATAATTAAGTTGGCCGGAGTGTCCAGGGTGAAAGTCCCGAAATCTTATATATATTTGGATGCCGGTTCCCTCGGATGTAGTTTCGTAAAATGGCAAGTTATGGAAGTATATGAATGATGTTTATGATTGAAGTGTTAATGAATGAGTTGCAGTCTCATTTTGAAGTGTTTATATGATGATGAATTATGTCAATGAATTGACTTGGGTAATAACTGGAAGTGAATTGAAAATGTGGGTACCAATGCTGATTGATTATGGAAAAAGTCTAAGATGGTTCATAAGTGTTAAACATTTATCGAATGCTAATGTTTTAGTTAATTCTCATATGTTGTTTAGCATATCTCTACTGGGCATTAGCTCACCCTACTTGGGACATCATTTTTCAGGTACAGGTGATATGCCACCTCCAAAGTCTTAGCTAGCTTGGGAGGTTTAGGAGTTGAAGACTTCGTTTTGCTATTTATATTTTGTGTTAAATGTAAATCCAAGCCGAGGGCTTTTCATGTATAGAGTTAGAACTCTTCTTTTGTTGTGACCAAGTGATAACTTGGAAAGCTGTAAGCGCGTAGGGCATTTACTTTGTTGATAACATGAAATATTTTTGTAAAGAAGACTTTGATGAATGAAGGTGTATTCT